GGATCCTGGGCACGCACGCACACGCGCCCGGCGTGAGTTTAAGCCACCGGATCCGGGACACGAACCGCGGTCGACTACGTGGGAGTCCAGCGACATAGCCATTACGCTAACTGCTGGTCCCCATAGCAGCCTTTGAAAGCTTAGGGGAAATGTCCACTTTGATCGATTTCCCACCTAGAGCAAAAACTAAATGATTTAAGACAGAAAAATACCCTGGCTTTCATGAAACCATGCCTGGTTCTTGAAGGCGGTGATTCATGCTCTCTGAAGGCACGAGATGGCTGTCCAGAGCTGGGAGGAAAAACAACGTTAATTACAACAAATTTCAGCGTGGTGTTTGCTGTTTTCAATTCTGAGGCCTGTTTTCCATGAACTTGACATCTGCTTAAGCAGCACATTGGCCAACTCCTCATTTCTCAGAAAAATAAAAGGCAGGGGAGGCCAGGGGTGGGGGGGAGGCGGGCAGGGCAGGGCAGGGCAGGGGTGTACCGAGGTCACTGGCGCCCAGTGTGGGTCACCAGGGCACACCTGGGCCTGGCTGAGAGGGTGAGGGAAGTGGGGAAGGGACAGCTGCCCTGCCCCCACCTTCCGGGCCCTTCTTGATGAATGTCAAGTTAATCTGATAAACTCATCCGGCGCCGCGGCCTTCACCTATTTTGAGCATTGCCATGGAGGCCAGCTGAGGCATCTAGACCAGACCTCCCCAACCCCTGAGGGGGTCACGGACAAGTACCGTCTGTGGCCTATTTGGAAGCAGCCGACAACAGGAGGTGAGTAGTTGAGTGGCGGGCGGTCAAGTGCAGCTCCATCTGCATTTACGGCCGCTCCATGGCTGGCATCACCACCCGAGCCCCGCCTCCTGTCCAATCAGCTGACATCAGGTCCCATAGGCGTGCAGACCCTGCTGTGAGCTGTGCGTGTGCCCCATCCTCCAGCCCCCTTGGTCCCTGGAAACGTCTTCCATGAAACCGGCCCCTGGTGCCAGGACGGTTGGGGATGGCTGGCCTAGACCCTCTGAGGTGGACCTAGAAACCCTCTGGTGTGGACATTCGGGCCCCGCTGCACACGGGGAAGCCTGCTGCTTTCTGATGTGGTTCCTTTCCACACACGAACGCTCGAGAGGATGCGTGAATCCGCGTAGAGCCAGGGCTTTCCCCCCGGGGGCAGGTGCATCGTGGCCACAGCCTCCCACAGACAAGCTTGCTTCTGTCCACAGCTGGCGCGGCCGAGCGCTGGGAGGAGCAGCCGTGGGTGTGACTGCGATGGCCGTCTCCGTGTGAGGTCATCTCCCGAGGGAGCCTCTACCCCGCTGGGCTCATATCAGGAGGTGACGCCCTTCCACAGAAGCCACCCGCTGCTTCACTCCCTCCCTTCCCCTTCTCTGGCCAGACTCTGGCCAGCCTTCTAAAGGAGGGGCCAGCATCTCTCGAACCTCTCTCCTTCCTCCAGACTCCGTGGGGAGGAAGGGGAAACTCTCACTACCCGTCCCTGCCCTGGGTACCCCCTTGGCTATACTCAGGCACGCATGGGCACAGGCTTCCCAGGCTCCCCACAGAGCCGCGTTCTGTCCTGCAAGGGCTGGGAGAGGGGTAGGGGGTGGGAGAGCGGTCCTCGGGGCCCCCAGCCACAGACAAGGCTCCGCGGTGCTTCCAGGACAGCAGGGAGGGAGGGCGGTTGGGAGGTGATAACGGAGCTGGGACATTACGGGGTGGCTGGACTCCAGAGAGAACGCAGCGGGTGACCCCCAAGGTGCAGAGGTGCGCAGTCCCCCAGGCAGTGGTTCGTAAAGTGGGTGCTGGTGAGTTCCCTGGAGAAGCTAGGTCGCAGGGCGCCCCTTTGCAGGAGTGCCAAGGAGGGATGGGGAGGGCCAGGTCTGGGCACATTTGCCCTCAAGCACCAGAAGGTGGCAGGCCTGGGGGCGGGAACCGGCCGGAGGCACCAGCCCGGCCTCCAGTGCGAGCAGCAGGAGGCCCCCCTAGGCCAAGCCACCGCAGGGGCTGTCCCTCGCTTTCATGAGGGGCTTGAAGCTAAGGCCTATTTCCATCAGACCCCAGAGCTGGGAGAGAGGGAGGGGTGCCTCAGTCCCCGGAAGCCCATCCACAGAGCTGGCAGAGCAGCAGCCAGCTGCCTGCTGTGGGGTGCCCTTTCCTGACCTCCGGCCCTCCTCTCTGAGGGGAGATGGACTCGGAAGTGACCTCGGAGCGGGTGCGTCCCGGACTCCAAGACTGGGCTGCAGGCTCTCTCGGCCCACCTGGGCCAGCTCCCTTGTTTTCTGAGGGAAGACCGAGGCCCAGGGGAAGAGTCATTATCCAAGTTCACAGCTGGTTGGGGCAGGTCCTGGGGAGAAGCCAGGTCTCCTGATACCCAGCCTAGTTCCCGCCAGCTGCTCTCAAGTCGGGAGCCCATCCTTTAGCCTTTGACCTTGGCCCTCTGCCCTCCAGCCAATCCCCCCCCAACACTGTCATTGCCCCCGTTCCCAGAGGATCCCAGGGAGACAGAAGCTGTGGTCATCTCCAGGGCTCACGGCATGTTCTCAAGGAGTCCGTGCACACAGACTGGCGTCCACATTCATTAAGAAGGGTTGGGACGAGCAGGTGGCATGGTGGTTAAGGCACTGGACTCCTACATGGCTGACCACAGTTCAAGTCCTAGGCCCGGCAGCTTGAAAAGCACACCAGGTGCATGTGCATGCATGTACAAAATCCTGAGAGGAGCGTGGGGGAGAGGGGATTGCAGTGTGGCCACCTCCCGGGGGTGATTTCTCACTTTCCCTCTGTCTCTCTCCAGCAAGCGCACATGCCCTATGGCAAAAACGAAAACAAAACAGGGTCTGGTAGAGCTGTGGGGGCCACCCATGCACTTGCGCTCCATGTCCGGGGCGAGGGGGCGCTTTCTGTGGAAGCGTGACCAGGGCCTCTGACTTTCTGACATCTGGGTGTGTCCCGAAGCCCAGCCAGGGACGGAGGAACCCGTGGCCAGGTCTCCACTATGCAGCGAGGGTGAGGAAGTGTGGCCTGGAAAACAGAGCATCCGATGCCGATATCCTTAATCCTTTCCTTTGGCTGAGGAATGCAAAATATTATCATTTTTGCCTGGAGATTTCCCTTCCTAAATACGCTGGGCCCTGGCCAGCATTGAGATGAGTTTGCATTCCTCCAGGCCGCCCGGCCTCCCGTTTAAATTGTTTGCAGAGACTAGAGACAGATGCTCAAGGGCCATCCGCTGGAAGGCAGCCGCGTGGTCACTCCACAGAGCCTTGTTGACATGCGCAGGGTGGGCCTGAGGAATCACCTTCCAGATGGGGAGACTGAGAGCCAGCGAAGCATAGCGACTCTCCATGGACACACGGCCATGTCAGTGACAGTGCTGAGTTAGGACTCGGGCCACCCCGCTCCAGTCCAAACCTCACTGGCCTTCACGGCTGGCTCTGTAGGCTCACAGACAGGGAGGTGTTGAGACGGGAATGGCCTAAGAGGAAGATACAGCAGAGCAGACTTTCTACTGCTGTGTTAAAAATAACACACCCCCTTGGGGGCCAGTGGGTGGCATGGTGGTTAAGGTGTGGGCGCCCCCCGTGGTCGACCATGGTTTGAGTCCCAGACTTGGTGGATTGAAACTCACGCTGGACACGCGTGCATGTGTGCCCCAAGTCCCAGGTGGGAAGAATGGAGAAGGGATTGTGGTGTGGCCATCCCCCTGGGGGGTGATTTCTCACTTTCTGTCTTACTATCTTTCTCTCCAGTGACTACATGTGCCCTATGGCAAAAACCTTAAAAAATAAACAAACCCCTTTCTCTTTATAATAAGTAAACCCATTCCCCAGGCCTGGTTTCTCTGCACCATCTGCACTGCTGCCCCTCTAGCCAGGCAATGAAGGTAGAGTGGTTCTTGCTCCTCTGCCAGCCATCATCCCTCCAGAAACCAGGGGTCCTCACTGATCCCCAGCTCCCCTTCTCCCATATCTCTGTCCAGTTGCTCAAAGAAAGTGTTATTCCTCCTCCTCCTTTCTGATAATCCATCCTTAAAGAGCTAGGTTGTGTATAGTTCCAATTGCTGTAATAGTCACCAATTGCTTTAGTAAAGCCGTGTAACAAATAGTCTCTCCACACACACCAACTCTCAGTGATGCACAGCAATAATTACTTGGTTCACGTGGCTGGGGTCAGCGGGGGACAGCAGTGGTCAGCCAAATGGCTCTGCTGGCCTCTCTTGACTGGCTCATGAATCTGGGGCAACTAGTCTCAGCTGGGTTTGGCTGGAGTAACTGTCTCTGATTCTTTTCGTGGGGGCAGTGGGAAGTCTGAGAGAAAATTCTCACATGGATGGCAGAAGTGCAAGTGAGCAAGCAGAAACAGGTATCCTGAGGCCCAGACTGGGCACTGGCACACTCGCATACCTGCCCCCAGTGGCCCAGTCCAGAGCCAAACGGACAGGTGTACCCTACCCCTTCAGAGGTGAGGACTGTAAGTCACACACCGAAAGGCGTAGACACAGGAAGGTGAAGACCTGGGACGTGTCCCCATTCCCCAGCTTTACCACCTATGAGTTTTGTGATCTGGGCCTCAATTTCCTCACTCCGAAAGCAGGGGCCAGGAAGCCCCCCCAGCCTAATGCGGCCTTCTAGGTGCTGTTGGTCAGATGGCCTCAGCGCAGGAGGGATCTGGCTGTGGAGGAGTGAGAGACGCCATGCTCGCGTGGCCG